TGCCTTTCTTCCCGGCTCTTCCAATTTGCTTGTCATTTGCATACCTTTCACTTCTCCTTTTTAACCCCTGCCGAGGGCGGGGGAGGAGGGGAGAGGGGAGGAAAAAGACAGTGGTCCTCCTAACACAGTGTCGATTGTGGCTCCCACTCATCGCACCCCCAGCTATTACAGACAGCTCCTGTTTATTTTTTTTTTCATCTTTTATTCATTCACTCAACCAACATTCATTGGAAGATCTGTGGGTCCCAGGCACTGTACTAGGTTTGGGGGAGTCAACAGGAAAAAAAAAACAACAGCTGGGTTCTTGTCTCCCTGAAGTTTGCAGTTTGGTAAAAAGACAGATTCATTGTCAAATGACTATAACATGGTGGGGGGTGACCTCTGTGTCCTGGGTGTGGTCAGTCCTGCAGAAGGGGCACCCACGCTTGCCCAGGGGGTGGGGATGGGTGGGGCAGGGCGTGGGGCAGGGCACCATTTGAGATAAGACTTGGAACAATGTCAGCACTTGCATGATGGACAGCTTGGGGAGGGCACTGCAGGTGGAGGGAGCAGCCTGGGCCAAGGCCTTGTGAGGCAGCGTCTTCTGGAAACTTCTAGTAGTTCCGGATGGCAGGAGGGCAGAGAGTAGGGAGGTCAGGAATGCTGGGAGAGGGAGGAGACTGAAAGCTGGGTGAGAGTCTTGCAGCTTTGCCGTGATTTTGTCGCAGGCTGCATCCCTTTTCTTTCCCTCCACCAAGCATTTAACCCACCCCCTCAACCAGCTCACTCCAGAGTGGTCCAAGGCTGCCATCTCCACTTTAAGCATCCCTCCTCTGGGGTAGGGGGTGGCGGGGGGCTCTTCCCCAACCTCAAAGAGCTTATCCAAGTTTCCACCCCTCCAAAACAAACCCCAGCTTCCTTCTAGCGGGGAGTCCCACTGCTAAAGAAAATAAGATCGTCTCTGTAATTTCAGGCAGATAAAAAATGCAGGGCTCAGGAAGGTTAATTGACTTGCCCAAGGTCACACAGCTGGTCAGTTGTGGAGCTGGATTAATCCCGGCTCCTGCTGGCTTCAGAGCCCTGTGCTGTTTTCACAGGCTCGAGCTGCGGGAGTGACCAGGCGGGTGGGCAGTAGAAGACTTTTAAGTCTCAGCAAACAGTAAGAGAGAAGTGTGTAGCAGTTGGATGATGTAATAAGACCCAAGTAGCAGGTGGTGGAGAGAAAGAATTGAATACTCACGCCTGTGAGAAGATAGACCCTGGAGAAACAGGACAGCGGGGGCGAGCTGAGCCTCTGACCCACCTGCCTGAGGACCTGGGAATTGGGGAGCCCCTTGAGAACAGGACAGAGGGGGTAAGGGGCTGGGAGGAAGGGGTTTGGTCCTGTGGGAGGGGGAGGCATGGGCGAGCAGGGGTGGGGAGATCCTTTTGACTAAGTCCATGGGACCAGCTTACACCGAGGGGTCCTCTGCCCAAGGTCGCACCTTCTGGGCTAGAGGAGAAAGCAGAGGTGGGGCAGCCTCTACTCAAACTAATTATTATAATTAATTATGGTAATGAGCCAATTGTGATGAATTCTAGTAGCCAGCATTGACTGGGGCTGACACTGGGCTCAGTCTGCCATGGGTGTGAATATCCTTGGGAGGGATAAACATATCGGACTCCTGCAGTCATGTAGCTAGTGAGTCCTTGAACCCCAGAGCCTGCCACAAAAAGGGCTTCGGGCAGGGCTGAGCATGGGGACGTCAGGTTGTCATCGTGTCATGACCCTTCCTAGCTGTCCTTAAATAAACTAAAGGCAGGTCATGGCCCCAGGGACCAGCCCTGTCCCAGTGAGCCTGGGGTGCAGGGGTTCCGACCCTTCAGTGATGGTGGAGGGGTGGCAGGGCCCAGCCAGCAAGGCTGTCTTCCCAGTCACGTGATCTGACAGACAGACGGATAGACGGGCAGAGTGGCTCCACCTCAAGGGCTGGAGGTGGGGCTGGGATGGGGGGCCCACTGGCCCACAGCCCAGAGCTCACAGCACTTCTAGGGGCCCGCAAAATGCTTTTGACTGCTTTGGAAATCAGAAGGAAACAAAAATGAATATAATCCTAATTGAGACATAAGAATGAATCCGGACTGGCTGATATTTGTCTTTGTATCATCGCAGTCATAAAATGTAATGGTTAATATGTCTTTTATGGAGGACCGGCTCCACAAAGGCGGAAGTGCCTGGGCTCATGAGAGTCGGCACTGTGGCCTTGCACGTGGCCACAGCCTCTCTCTGTCTCTCAGGACTGTGCGAGGCCAGTTCCAGCCCAGCTCAGCCCCCGCTGTGTCCTGTGACTTCAGCTAAGAGGGGCTAGAGGGCGTGGTGAGTCCCCTGGGCCCTGGGCCCTTTCCCTGGAGGCGAGGGTCTTATATCCCACAAGGCATGCAAGGGTAGTTCCTCTGAAAAATGAGGCTTATCTACGCAGACAAAAAAGAAAGTCACTTGGAGAATTTTACATGCATTTCCAGGAAATAATCAGACCTCAGGGAGAAGCTGGCAAGCTCTATTTTGTTAAGGAACAAGAAAAGGAAAACTTGCAATTAAACAAAAAATGACCCAGGATTAGACAGCCCATTGAAGGCCAGGAAACTAGAACCTTGTATTTTATGTAACCTTGGCATATTTGGTTTTGTAATATAACATACATTTAACTGCACAGCACCTCGCTCTGACTCTTGTAATTAATTTTTTAAACTTCAACAATGTTTTATACGTTACTTTGTGATATTAGATATGTAATGTGTGGTTTGAAAGTTTTCGTTTTAAGTTCCATTTTAAAAATGCAGAATTTTGTCAACTTGAAAGGCAGTCTAACGTTGTGTGACATAAGTGTGAACGTTTGGCTGTTTTCATGACCAAAAATACAGGGCTAGTGGACGTTGCGGACGGGAATTCAAGTTAGAATCGTATCTGTCTTTCTTTGAAGGGAGTCTGTCTACCTTATGATTTGAGAATGACGTCAGAGAATTTTGATTGAGAAGCATTTGGGTCTTAACTGTTAGAAACATTTAAAAGAATTTTAGGAGCTATTTGCAGACTGAGGTGGACACCACCTGTGTATTGTGGACAGAGGTTTGGGGACCTGCGGGGTGGTGCCCAAGGGACGAAGTGTGCAGACCCCACCACATTGCAAACGTCAACAGGGTCCCTCATCCTCGGGATCAGAGTCATGAGGCAGGTAAAGTGCTGCTCCCCTTGGGGAAGGGGGTAGGGGGTTGCCAGCCCCGGGAGCCATGAAACAGGAGAGTTTCCGGAAGGCACATTGGCAGAGCCACCTGCCTCAGGACCTGGTCTGAGGCTGCCTTCTGTGAGGGAACGGGAGCTGTGCCTTTTCCTTGCTTGCCAGGAAGCTTGGGTCTCAGTTTTGGGGTCCTGTCATAGCTCCCCCAGGTGAAGTGTCCTGTGGTCCTAAGTTCCTCCCCAGTCCCCTCTTCACTTCCCTCCTTGGCTTTTTCTTGGTGCTGACTCTCCGGGTGGTGATTTGTAACGTCTTCCTGTAAACCACCACATAATCTTATAGGACGAATTTCCTGAGACCTTACTTCCACTGGCCACCCTGCTACCTTCAGCCATGCGGAAAGACACCCCCCCCCAACCCTGACCACACTGGTCTCTTGCCCATAGCACAGAGAGCAAGTACTTTTGTGTATTTTTGTGTCTAAAAGCGCAGAGAGTCTAAGTCAGAGAAATGAATAGTTCCATATTATTAAAGATTCTTTTGCTTGCACGTGACAAAAACTCAAGCAAATCAGCTGAAGGAAAACACGGGTGTGGTGGTCGAAATCTATGGGTTCTTAGAATGAAAACTTGCAGGGTGGTTCGGCTTCAGGCACAGCTGTATCCAGGCGATCATGTCATCAGGAATCTGTATCTCCAAACGCT